ATTTTTATTTTATTTTTTTATTCTTATATATGTGTATATCCTTCTCTTATGTATGTAGAGTGTTTAATTGTTGATGTTTTCCTGCTTTGCAAAAAAGTTAAAAAAAAAAATAAAAAATTAAGCCAAGCCCTCATTCATCACTTCATCCACTTTCACTTTTTATCAAACCTAAACTAACTTCTTCTCTCTTCTTAGTTGTTGCTGGAAGCTGCCTGACCCACTGATGACCCTCTGTTTCCAAGATTACCTTTTTATTAGAACTGTTGTAGTTGGTTAAGGGTTAAATCAGGAACTCTCAAAATGAGAGTTGTTTAGTTTCCATAACCTAAGAGACATTTTGCTGAATCAAATTTAAATATTACATTTTTACAGTTATAATATTTTTTGTGATAAAATCTGAGCTGTTTTTATGCAATCAGTTGATCTTTAGTGATGCAGAAAAATAAGAATGCAATCCCATAAGACAGATGAAGGGAATTTCCTCCAAGGTGAAGATTTGATCTGCCCTCAGGACAAAAATGGATAAAGCATAATGAGCTGACCCTGATTAGATCTGCAGAAAAGGATGTGGCAACAATTTTCTTCCACCAAAGTTACCACACACTGTGAGACAAATAGTCGGCTCATTTTTTCTTACCTCAAACGTTGTGCCAAATGAGTAACTATTTCATAAACTAAATGCAAACATTAAAGTAACAGCTTTAAAGGAGCCCAGCCACATGTTGTTATTACTTGACGTAATTCTATACCACTAATTCACTTTAATCAAATACAAAAGATTAAATTATGGCATCCTGTTGGCTTTTATTTTATTTCTTCGTATACACTTAATTTTGTGCATATTTATTAGTAATCAATCAGTAAGCATTTTGAGCATTTTCCATAATAGTTATAGAGGTTACATATGCATGAAATGAGTAACAATGAAGTAAAGGAGCCAGGCAACTCCAAGGTAAAATGTAAAGAGGAAAAATATAAAAAAGTGAAAGACTAAAAAAAAATATGGAATGCCAAGACGGATAAGACCTGAGTAGTGCTCTAAAACCGATATGAAGGGTTGTCTTGCATTAATTTAGCTTTCAATCCCCTTTGCTCTGTTTCTGCACAGCCTGATTTTTCTGCACCTAACAAAATTTTTTACTTCTGGAAATGAATGTCGGACATTCAAAAGCTTCTACTGGTCAGGTCAAAGAAAAACCCCTGAAGTCATCTTATGATTTGGTCCATGAATACCACCATGATCTACACACTGAACAAGAGAGAAAAATACTATCACTCTTGGGTGACACAAAGAGACACTGAAAGTTTTGGAAACAACTGTTTTATACACGATGTGTGGTGTTTGCACAGCTTAACACCAAAATTAAAAAAATCCCTTAAAAATTTCTTCCATTTGTGTTTTTATCTGCTTGTTTTTTGTTTGTTTTTCTATCAGAGAATAAACCTATGTACATAAAAAATGCAGTTAACTCTGTAGGCCAGGAGCCTATCCAGATAAGTCATGCAAATCAAGAATTAAAAAAATATATATATTTTTTATTTAACTCTTACAAGTTACATACATACACGATTGCTCCCTAACCTGTAGAATAAAAAAGTAACCTTTAAAACAATCGATATGAAACATGATGGATGCTACACCAAGGGTCTAACTTTGTAATGAAATTACAGATCAAAAAACTGATAAGGAGTTAAATCATAGAGTGACCAAGCAAAATTACTCCAAATAGACTTTGTAATAGATACAGTAGAACATTATTTCTGCACTAAAAATCTAAAAAGTAAATGTTCAAAATGCTAAAGCTTAACCATACTTGGGTGATGAACCAGAAAAACTATAGGAATCATGCAAACATTGCCTAATTTAAATACAGTTAACTGATTCCCAACCAGCACCAGCAGATCCTTTTTGAAGTCAACTCCACTATCTATAATTTCTATTTGGTATAGATATTTCAACCTGGCGAGACTCACACAGAAAAAAACCTGCAATTAGAAAATATTCAATTTATTTATGCAGGTAGCACAATCACATTCTTAAACATATTTACATATTTCTATCAAAGAAAAAACAGCTGATTGAGAGGGCTCGTTGACTCCCTGCAATCCCTCACACTGCGTATGCAGTGTGAGGTAGAAGCTAGCGACCAATCCAAAATTTTTACACCAGTTGTTGTTAATGTACACACACAGCCCACCTCCATTAGTGGTACTGCTGAGTTCGCTGTTTCTGTTGGTGCGGTATAATGTGAGCCCCTCCAGGCTAACAGCATGTGGATGAATGCAGCCACGACTTGGTCAGGATGATGCAGCAGCAGTTCCTAATCTGCTTTTTCAAAGAGAGTTCGAGTTGAAGATGATCCATTTTGTTATCCAGTAAGCGGATGTTGGAGAGCAGGATTGATGGGATTGATGATCTGTGGGGATTCTTTCTTAGCTTCCCTGTTAGCCCCTCTCCACAACCCCTCTTTCGTGGTCTTGCACACTGCTTCATCATACACCTACTTCAACAAACCCAATGGTATTCAGATAAGGCAAGCAGCACTGCGAGGATCATGATTCAGTCTGACTGACTTTGTCAGAAACTCCAGAAATACCAGAAGAATTAGGTCGATACATTGACAATCGTTGAGATCAAAAACTACCTGACAAACAGACCGCAGCTTTTGGGACTGAAGAGTCTATGTACTGTCTAATTAGGTTGTAAGTAGGTTGTAAGTAGGTAGCACAGAAGCACCATGGGGGAGGGTACTCTCACCATTTGTTTTTACTCTGTTTACCTCTGACTTCCAGTACCAGACAGAGTCCTGTCATCTGGAGAAATACTGGAATGACTCTGCAGTCATTGGTGCATCAAATATGGACAAGAAGCTGA